GACTGATGCTTTCTACAGAAAGAGGGAGGAGGATTAAGATACCAGAAGATGAAAGGATGCAGCCTCTATTCTCCAGGAAGCCACAGGGCGGCTAGTGGAGGAAGAGTACATGCACAAGGCAGATTATGTCCTGTACCCTAGGAAGATGAAAGCAATGACGCAGGCTGCAGGAGCCTTCTGGGATCCTCCCTCAGAGTTCTGGGCTCTCACCTTCTGCTGTTTATGGCTATACAACCAAGACTGGGAGAATAGACGCTGGGCACGGTTCTTTAATGTCATATCTGCTACTCACCATCCGGCTTCCAGTGGGAGGGGAGCCAAGGACTTGGAAAACAATAGGGCCAATTCAGTGCTGGGGAGGCTGACAACACATTCTAGCCTCAGAGGGTCTGGAGCAAAGCAACTGTATAAGGAGGCTGGGAACAAGAGTGTGTTCAGGAGACACAGCCAACCGAGGCTGAAGCACTTCCCAGGGCTCTGTCCCTACTACCTGAAGACAGGGGCTCTTGGGGCTCTGGTATCTGAATCCATCAGATGTTCCCAAAGAGTGCAGTTCTCAGCGCAAACCCGAGGCACAGGATGTCTGCCCTGCAGGCTTGAAAGCTGCAGCCCCAGAATTCAAAGCCCTGCAGGGCCTGAGAGCAGAGCCCTGTGGGAGGGAGAGTCGCGATGTCAACTGAGACAGGCGGGAAGGAGCCTGCGCGGTGAGAAAGAGGGAAGAAAGAAAGGCAATTTCTGTCTGAACACGAAGGGGATGAGATGCAGGGTCTGAGCGGGGTGTGGGCAGAAGGGTGGAGCCCTGGAATAGGCAAGGGTATATAGTCTATGAAGGGTGGGGCTGTGCTGGGCAGAAGTGACTCAAGTCACAGAAACTGTGCCTATTACAAGGTCACTAGAAGAACTAATTAGAGGTTTCGGGGGACAGGATGTGGCTGGGATGGCAGAAGTGAGGGCAGGAGCAAGGATGCACACTGCAAACAGGTTTCCAATAGCACAGGATTCCTTGGGCCTGAGAGCTGGGAGCGCCAAGGTCCCAACTTTGAGCACAGGACAGACACAGGGGCTGAGACTGTAGCTCAGCGGTAACAGCGCTTGCTTAGCACTGCAGGTGTTAAGGTTAACTGGGTCCAGGACATGCTACCCCAAAGCACAGCCATCTGAAGACTTGAGAACCAAGATCTCGCTTCTCTTCTCCTCTGAAGCAGGTCATAAGACCATCATGTGCAGATGCCCTCCCTATGCCCAATGGATAAAAGCACCCTTCTTCTTAAAGATGCAAGAGCCCAGCCATCTGGAGCTTGTTACTTGACCCCACCCCCATCTACTGCACTCCCATGGCCTTCCATTCTTCTTGAACCACCCATCTTCATCAAGCCTAGAAGTAAGATATATAGGTGTAAGCCTCAGGTCTTTACCTCCTTCGCAGAAAGCTTTCCATGGGGTAAGTTGCACTAAACAAACACGTTTTTCACTTGTTAGTCTGGCTTTTGTTACATGAGCCTCAAACAGGGATTTTAAGAAGGTATGTATGTCCCTCCCACCGAAGGGACAGGGTCTTAGGGGAAAAGAGGTCAAAGGTCACAAAGAGGATGAGAAAAGCCACAAAGTCATGGGATAAAGGGCGCTAAGAACCCTTGTGGGTCTCAAAATAAGCCGATGAATCTAAGAATTTAATGAAGTTTAAGAATTACAAGAAAGCAAGGAACAATGGTCTGAGGAGAATCTGGGAAATGAGAAAGTGAAGAGATGAGAGACAATGGAGTTAGTGGGTTTCTGAGATGGTTCAAAGGAATGAATTCCAGGTCCTTTATTAAAGCAACTCCCAGGAAAAGTGGGGGAGGGAGTGGTGACAGAGATAACTAATACCTCGGACTTGTGAGAGGTAGCGCTATTTTATATAAAGCTTGATATACAGTAGCTGCTGCGGAGTGGGCAATCACTAAGGAGCTGTGGAAGTTGAAGTGTGAGGGAGGAGCCCTCGTCAGGCTGGGAGAGGGACTCCAAGATGGCAGCAGTAGTCACGGGCATGGGCCAAGTGCTCATTGTCTGTGGAGTTCCTGGCACCCAGGACTTCACCCCTACCAACTGCCGTACCTTAAAGGTTTTCTGTGGGCCAGCAACGGTGCTGAACGTCCCGCATGTGTTAGTTACTGCGTCATCATGGGCAGATGCCCATGTTTACAAGCCTCTCTTGGCAGCATAGTGAGGAGGGGTCGGGAGGTTTTAAACGGTATGCCGAAAGTTGCACAGCTGAATGGCCAAGCTTATGAAGTCAACAGCGCACAGGGAAATCTCTCCTGCGACACAGTTTTCCCAGACGGGTAGAGCCCGATCAAGGGGGCATGGGTGTGGACAATTGAGTGTAGGCTCGTGAGAATGAAGCAAGTGGACCCTGGGGCACTTCTAGGGCAGAGTACAAAAAAGCCCTCTGGTTTTCTCTTGACTAAGAATTGCGGAACTTTAATCGGAAGGAACATCAGGGAGCATCAAACTCAACCACACACAATATTGACCAGACACTGAAGTCCAGCCTAAGGAAAGGACCGCTCCCAGGCTCCCCAAGCCCAACACGATAGAATCTGGACTTGAGCCTGGGACCACACACTCAACCCAGAATCTTGATGCCCCCACTGATATACTTCATTCCGTATACTCTTCAGCACCACCATGGTGGCGGTGGTGAGGGGCTTACGTTATGTGCTGATTGACACTGGAGCCTGGGGGAGTCAAAGACTGGTGTCAGTGGGGCGAAGATCGCGAGAGTTACGGAGATGAGTTGGGTGGGGAAGTACCGGAGTCTGAGTTGCAGTGGTCAGGAGAGTTTTGAAGGCTGTCCACAGAGGATAGTTTAGGGGTCACTAGGGGCTGTGGGGATCTGGGAGCTGTGTGATCACTGTATCAGAACTGAAGCAGGGCTGGGGTTAGCAGTCAATGAATCAGGGGTCACCTGGTAAGGTCTGCGGGGGAGTGGGTGAAGTGTGTGTCGGGGGTCAAAGAGGTGGAGGCGGGCGCTGTCACGGGGTGGGGTTTGGGAGCCCTGGGGGAGGAGTCCAGGGCGGAATGGAGGGGCAGGGACCCTAGGTGGGGGTGGGGCCAGGCCGCCGTCCCGGGAGGCCCAGCCGCCCGGCCATGACCCGAGGAGGGTGGGCACGACGGGCTCCGGACCTTCCCGGGGCCCCGCGTCCGCCCGGCCTCCCGCCTCGGGGCACGGTGGACCCACTCTTCCCGCGGCCACCAACCTGACAGCCCCCGAGGGCGACTCCGCCGACAGACCGCCATGCACCGGGCCCTGCCACCAGCGCCGGCCCCGCAACCCGCCTGCGCCATAGCCCGCCCGCCCGCGCGCGGCTTGCCTCGCGCGATATCCAGGTTCCAGGGCGGCCGCACTTCCCTCTGGCTCCCGGCGCGGCCTCCGCTGGGCCCCGGAACCCGGATGACCAAGCGTGGGGCCACGCTCCAGCCCGCCCCCCTCTGCCGCGCCGGCCGGCCTGTTTATCCCGGTTCCCGGGCCTCCGGCGAGCCTCGGAGCTCCGCCCCGGCTTCCCTCACTGCTGGCTGCCGGGTGACGCGGCCTTGCCAGCCGGGGCGCCCGGGGAGGGCGTGATGACATCATGACGCCGGGTGGAGGCCGCGGTCGCCATAGCAATGGGTAGTGCTCGGCGGCGGGCGGTGGCGGGAGGCATCGCTTCAGGAGCCGGTCCCGGGAGGAAGCCGCGGCAGGTACCGGTAGGCGGTTACCGAGAAGGACGGTGCCGAGGAGCATCGAGGGCACGGGGCTCCGAGAGCCGGTCCTCCCCGCGCCCGGTCGGACGGTTCCCCGAGGGCTGACACCCCGAGGGACGCTGCTCCTCAGCGCTCTGAGGGAAGTTGCCCTGGAGGACAGCGTCTTGAGGGACCATCCTCCCTGCGGTTCCCGCCGTGTTCCGTGTTCTGGCGGACAGTACCTTGGGGAGCATGCGTGTTTGTGAGGGATGGTGTGCCTGTTTCCAGAGGAAGAAGGGCCCTGGAGTTCTCCCAGAGGGATGATCCTCCCCGAGATTGTACTCGTGAGGAAAGCCGCCCTGACAGCCCTTGCTGAAGAATGGTGCTCCCTCAATTCTGCCTTCCCTGAGAGAGACTTCCCGGTGGATGGACACCAAGGTACAGCACCCTGCCAGTCCTTCTCAGGTTCTCGGTCGCCCACCCTTCCTCCTAAGCCAACCGCACCTCTTGGTAAGCTAGCACTGTGAAGAACAGGATCAAGTGCCTGCCCCCTTTTCTTTTCTTTTTTCCACTCAGACTCTCTATGTGTCACAAGGTGGCCTTTAACTTGTGATCCTCTTGCCCCTGTTTCACAGCCGGCACCTAAACTTTAAAAATTATCATTTCCTCTCCCATCAGGAAGAAATTGTGGTTTAGGGTTATTTCCAGAAACCTGAGAGAAAATGAAAAAGGGAATGAGCTTCCAGTTAAAGAGATAAGTAGATTGGGGGGGGGATCCTTGGCATGTGCCTGTTAATCCTGAAGTCTCTGTTGGAGGGCATCAAACCCCCTAGAGCTGAAATTCTAGGCAATAAAGAGCCACCTGATGTGGGTGCTGGGACCTGAGCTTAAGTCAGAAGAGCAGCAAGTGCCCTAACTGCGCCATCACCACACCCCAGGAGAACACAATTCTTTACTTAGCTACCCAGCGCCTCCCCCTTGTTTTAGACATTATGTACCCCTGGCTGGCTCGAAACTCACTATGTAGATCAGGCTGGATGCAAAGAGACCCTTCTGTCTCTGCCTCCTGGACACTGGGATTAAGGCCATGTTGTACCACACTCAGCAAGGGACAGGTCCTGACACTGCGTTTAGAGATAGACAGGGACGAGAGTTTCCAAATACAAAGTCATTGGAAATAAGATGTTGGGGGAGGAAGGAGCCAGCCTGGTCTGGGAGGCAGTACTTTGGACTTTACGCTTCCTTCCCAGCTGTAGACCAAGCCGCTGAGGTAGAAAAGATGCTTGCCAGCTGAGGGGTTCCGTTTAGTATTTTAATAATATAAAAAAGACAATACAAAATCCAAACATTCCTTTTTTACAAGTTCAGATACATAATTTCCCCAAGTGCAAAATACTCTATGAACCACATGGTTTGCTGTTGTTGTCGACCGTGAGATGCTTGCTGTAGCGCATAGCGGAAGGCAGGTATAAATACAGTATTTTGAGGGTCTCTTCTGCGCTAAAAAAAAAAAAGCCTTCCACGTGATAATTATTCTCTGAAATGTCAGCTCACCAAGACCAAAATTTGTAGCTTGTCCAAAGGCCTGCCATTTGTCCTGTGCTGGTGAGCTGCCAGCGTGAACCAGCGTTTCTGCTCCTTCTAATTCTTAAAGGATTCCTAGTCCGAATAATGGCTGTTCTACCCTGGAGACGGGTCCACTGTAAAGGTGGTGTCTGCTTCCACTTTTCCTGGGCTTGAGGAAGAAACCAGGCAGGCTAAATCTTCTGCTTGGAGCCAGTCACGCTTCGCCTCCACTCCCGTCTTGAGGCGCAGCAGCAAATACCAATCCTCGAACGCTCCCTAGCCTTTTCTGACATATTGAGCTACAATGTCCTAGCCCATTGGTGTCTCCCCTACATGCATCTGGGGAATGCTTCTCGGATTCACAAAGAATCGTAAGAGCCAAAAGCGAGACCGTACCCCTGAACTCAAAGCAACAAATCAGTCTTCTCTGCCTCCACATTCGGGGAAGTGGAAGTATGGGTAGCTTGGTGGCAATCCTCTGGGCATTCCTAAAGGCTTAGAGTGGGCAGCGGAAGTCCAGGCTCTGGGCAGTTTTCCCCTAATTCTGAGAATTACCTCCGGGTTAGGGACTAGCTGGCCTGACAGTACAGAGGCAGAGGGCTAAGGACACCACTGTGCTGCTGAAGACCTAAGCACCTTCTTGAGATGTGTCGCTTGGTGCTTGGAGCCCTCATGGAAACCACGTCCCACGTTGGAACTCAGATCAGGGCAGGTCTGTGCTAAGCAGAATGTGGTGCCATGGTTATGTAGCCTGTGGGTACCGCAGCTGAGAAGCTCTTAGGTCAGTTCATGAAGGCTCTGTTCACACCATCTTCCCATCCCCCACTTCCTCCTAGAGACCTCACCTAACCTGTGCAGTCCTAGAAAGTCCCTGAGTTGTTATCCTGGTCCCATCGACCAGAGCCCCCAGGCTAGGTGCCCCAGGGCCAGTTTCCTCTGAAAGTTCACCAGCAGCTCTGCCTGGACTAACCGCTGACTTGGTTGGTAGTAGCCAGTCCTCGCTCGATTTCCTCTGTCTGTCTTGATGTCAGCTAGGTCTAGTGGCCTCTTCTCTCTGTACCATAGAACTCATGAGCTGTCCCACCAGCCATTCAATAAGTGATCAGAGGAAGTAGACACGTGCATGGTATGACAGGAAAGGGAGCAAGGAGAACCATATCCTAATGGCCGACTTGGGGAGGGGCATCACTGTGTGGCTTTCCAGGAGCTGGGCACAACGGCAGGGAGAGAGGGCTCACAAGTTACCCTGGCTTCTAGTAGGATGCTCAAAGTTGATTCCAGCCGTTCTGTGGCACTTCTGAGGAAGCAGACACTGCTACCAAATGCCCACTCACCCTTGTATGAAGCCATCTGGCAGCTTTACAATAGCTCTCTGACCTAGACAGACAGACGGCAGACCCCTACCCCACCCCAAGGTGTTGGCTAACTGACGTCCAGGAAACTGGCTTTGATTGCCATTGGCTGTTTGGCTGGTGTAGCTGGGGGTCAGATTATTTAGTGTGGAATTGTTGAATCTCTTGGCAGTCACCTAGAGCTGGACCTGAGGAGTTAGTTGGTGGCTAGTGACTGTCTAGGACTACAACCCTGGGGGCCCTAGAAGGAGCAAACTAGAGACTTTACAGCAACAGTTGGGTAAAGGTGGAGCATGTGCAGGGCCTGGGCTTGGACTTATTCTTCTTTCTTTTGAAAGACAGTAGCTGGACTTCAACTCTAAGAGGCAGGTGGCCAGTGTCAGCACACATCTGGTTCTTGCCCCTGCAGCAGCTTCATACATGGAGAACTGTCCTCTCCGAGGCTGCTCTGCCTTCTCTGGCCCATGCTCAGAGTTTGTCCTGAAGCTCTTCCATGTGCATGCCAGGAGAAACATGAAGGCCGTGAAAGGGCAGAGGGTCCCCTACCTGCAGTGGCTCACCGACCAGTTCCATCTGCATCTATAACCATGAGCCACAGAGACGCACAAGGACGGCAGGGTCAGCTTAGTCAACAGCCCCTCTCCTTCCTGCTTCACCAGGTTACCAGAATTACTCTCCTCCACTTTCGGCACCTCCGAGGGGATTGCCCTGGCTCTGCACAGCTGAGGGCCCTGAAGTTCTGGGTGGCCTCAGGCAGAGATGCTCCAGTGCTCAAGGCTCGTGAGAGCCAAACAGATACGCTTCCACTCCCAACACATGCTTCTCTCCTGGGCAGCTATAAATAGGGTTATTCTGAGAGGAAAAAGAAACAAACAAAAAACAAAACCCCTCCCTCTAGAAGACATAGAAAGACTCAATGATTGCACTTCTCAGATGTGGACAGGATGGGCAGGTGGCTTGCCAAGGGCACACATTCTTGCTGCCCACAGCCCGAGGGCAGAGGTAAGCAGCTCCAGACTGGCTGCAGAGTGGGGTCCTCTTTGGTGGAGCCCACCAGCCATCTGGTGCTCCAAGGGCAAAACAACTGTGGAGCAAGTTCTAGGCTGGTGGGGGTCAATGGCCAGGATTCTTTAAGGACAGCACTTAGCAAGGGGAGTAAGCCTTCCCCGGGGAACACTTAGGCGGGTGAGGGCATGGTGGGCCAGTGAGGGCTGGCAAGAAAAGGGTTAGTGTCTGAGGCTGGCTTCCACTTGCTCTGCAGCCCAGTCCTTTAGGGAATAAATTTCCTTTTCTGTTTTAGGCAATGGTTTAAAAAACCTGCTTCTGTCCCAGAGCTATCTGAGAGCATTGTCTTCGGGAGCCCCAGTTGTGCTCTGGCATACAAAATGATACCTGTTGCTCTTTCTACTCAGCCAGGGTTCGCCAGCCTAGTGGTATGGACCACCTGTAGACCCTAGGGACTCAGCCCCAGGCAGACAGGAAAAGCTGTACAGATAAGAATGCCAGCTGTGCGGGCACCCAGGGCTCAGACTGTGCCTTGCAGCCTGGGTTGGCATAAAGTTGGTCAGAGCTTCTCTGGCAGGGCTCTGGGCTGTAAAGTTATTCTGGGGAGCACAGCGGGGGACATTTTGGCTCCTGGCTAGTAAAGGCACAACCCTATAATGGCAGAAGCCTTTCTTACCCACCCCACCTACTTCCTAGCAGGCCAGATCCTATTCCAGGCCTCCAACACCCTTCCAGACTGACGGGGGGGGGGGGGGGGGGGGGGGGGGGGGGTAGGGATGTGAGCTGGTGAGCTGGCCAGAGGAGAGGGGGTTCTATTCCTTCACCTCTGAAGGGACAGGGACAGCACTGAATGGCTTTTCCAGGAAACACGTAAGAAAAAAGTGTAGGGGGGCGGGGGCAAGATAACTAGGAAGACAGAGGGGATAGTGCCTGGTGTAGAGATGTTTCTCCTCCCAAAGGAGAGGCCAGTTTCTTGTCTGAGTTGGGGGGCCAGCTCTGAGGGCAGGGAGTCGGAGCTCTGAGACCTGGGGCTCCAGGCCCCCGAGCACTATTTGTAAGGCCTCAGGAAGCTGGAGACTTTAGAACGCAGCAGCTTGATGAAGGACTTCGGCAGCATCTCCTTGTGTTTCTCCGTGTACTTGAAGTAGTTTTGGGGGTGGGCCAGAACCTCAAAGAAGGCCTTGATCAGCTTCTTGTCCTGCAGAAGACAGCAGGTGGCAGTTGTCAGGCTCAGTGACATACCTCACAGCCCATCTTTATGTTTAACGGCATTGCACACTGAGCGTGCGCAGGGGGGACCCCTGGGCTCTTCCTACCATCTGCTCCTTTAGGATTCCACAGCAAAGTTAGTGGCAGCTCTAGTCCGCTGCTCCTCAGACCCTGGTCTGCAGAGCTATCTGTGAGCCCACCTGCTCAGAGCTACGGCACTGTTGACTCTGCCTCCAGAGCACACCCGGTGTCTGACCAGTCCACGCCATCCCCATGGCTACCACTCTGAGCCAAGCCACCCGAGTTTCTCCCTTGGACTAATTTTTGTTTTCTAGACAGGGTTTCTCTGTAGCTTTGGAGCCTGTCCTGGAACTAGCTCTTGTCGACCAAGCTGGCCTTGAACTCAGAGATCTGTCTGCCTCTGCCACTGGGATTAAAGGCGTGCGCCACCACTGTCCATCTTCCTCGGACTATTTCAATAGCTGAGCTATTTCTTTCTTTTGTCGTATACGATACTGAGGGTTGAACCTAGACCCTCACATATACTAGGCAACTATCCTTTTTTCTTCTTCTAGATTTGCTTGTGTGTATTTCACCTGTGTATGTGTATGTGTCCTACATGCATGCCTGGTGCTAGAGGAGGGCAGAAGAGGGTGTTGGATTCCCTGCAACTAGAGTTATGGATGGTTATAAGGCATGGATGCTGGGAACTGAACCTGGGTCCTCTGCAGGAGTAACAAATGAGCCAACTCTCCAGCCCCTAGGTGCGCATTTTGTTATTGACTATAGCCCCAGGTCTCTAACTTTTTCAGACAGGGTCTCACTAAGTTACTCAGCCTGGCCTTAAACTCACTTTAGCCCCAAATGACCTACAACATGCCATTCTCCTGCCTCAGTCTTTTGAATAGCTGAGATTAGAGGCGTGAGTCATGGACCAGATCTTCACGTTTCTGTCCTTGGCCTACCACAGAGCCTCATAAGGGTGTCTATTTAGTTTACTTCATGTTTGAAACACTTTTTGGGTTTCTGTTCTCTGGATTTTCTTTCCCGAGATGAAGCCCTGCTATCTTGTGTAGGGTAATCTTAAACTTCTGGGTTCAAATGATCTCACACTTGAGCTGTCTGGTGGAAGTTTATTCTTATGATGACGGCAGGCAACAGAAACTGTGGTGCCGGCTGACCCAGGGCTTTGGGCCTGGCAAACATTTCTCCACACAGGTCACTCACCCAGGGAGAGTCAGGTCCCTTGTGTGGCCTTTGTGTCCTGCTCCTCCTCTGCTCTTTCTCACCCTGTGGAACCACAGGGGTCCTATGGTCCCCAAAGAGCCACCACTGCCATCCTCACGAGCGTGGGATGTTTCTCAGTCACCCTCAGCTCCTTACAAGCCCTTTCCTCGTGGCGTCTCCTGCCCCTCACCAGACACTCACTGCTTCAGGACTCACCAGGAAAAGGCACCTACAACTTCAGCTCAATTCCCAAGACCCACACAGTAGGAGAACCACTCCTCTAAATTATCCTCTGACCCCCACATGCACACACCCCCAACATACAACACTCATGCCAACAAAACCCACACCGTATCTCCTGGCTTCTAGACTGTACCATGGAGTTCTAAAACAAGAGGGACTTTCAGCCTCTCCACGCTGCTTTAGTAAGGACAGCTGTGCTATGCTGTCCTTTTGTTTTGAGACAGAGCCTCACTGCGTGACTAGGGCTGGCCTGAAACTCACTGTGTTGACCAGGCTGACCCACAGCTCACAGAGATCCGCCTGCCTCTGCCTCCCAAGCACTGGGATCAATGGCATACGCCACTGGACCTGCTGCAGCTATGCTGCGCTGTAAATAATCCTGTTGCATGGCGCATTGGATGTGCTGTTTGAGATGTTTGTGTTGCCCAGGCTGGTCTCCCACCGCAGCTCCGACTAGTTCAAACCATACGTGTGCACCCTCGCAGCCAGCTACATTTCATTTGAAATAGTGGCTCAGGCCTAGCGAGATGGCTCAAAGGCTAAGAGCATATACTGCTCTTGTAGAAGACCGAGTTTAGTTCCCAGCACCCACTCAGGGTGGCTCACAACTTCCTGTAACACCACCTCCAGGGGGATCCTATGCCTCTGGCCAGCCTCCTAGCATGCACAGGCACACAGCCACACAAACACCCATAATTAAATATGAAGTAGGGTCTTATTGTGTATTCTTGGCTGGTCTAGAACTCCATTTACACACCAGGATGGCCTTGAACTCACAAAGACCCATCTGCCTATGGCTCCCGAGCGCTGGGACTAAAGATGAATACCACCACCACTGGTGACTCCACAGACCCAGCAAGTTATTCATTCCTCAATATTAGACACGTCTTTCTCTCTAGGTCTGTAATCCCAGCACTTAGGAGGTAGAGGCAGGAGGACCTGGAGTTCAAGGCCAGCCTGGACTATATACACAAGACCCTGAAACAAAACAAAAAAATCATTCTACATTTTATCTCCCCAGCATTTATTTATTTACTTATTGGTTTTTCGAGACAGGGTTTCTCTATGTGTGGCCTTGGCTGTCCTGGAACTAGCTCTTGTAGACCAGGCTGGCCTCAAACTCAGAGATCCACCTGCCTCTGCCTCCTAGGTGCTGGGATTACATGTGTGCGCCACCACCGCCCAGCTCCCCTGCATTTCTTGATGACATAGTTAGAGGACCTTTCTTCTCCTCACCTTCTCTCTAACCTCCCCCAAAGTATGACACTGCCTGGCAACACTGCAGTTCCAGGATCTACTATGGGCAAGCCCTTTGGCGCGCTGAGCCTCGGTTCTCTCACCTTGGAACAGGCCTACTATGGGCAAGCCCTTTGGCGCTCTGGGCCTCAGTTTGCTCCCCTTGGACGTGGCAGTGAAGAGAACACCCACCTCAGAGAGCCAGGGAATAGCCCGTCATGCTGGTCCTCAGCATGCTGCCTGCACACTGGCGCGTGTGCCGTTACGTTAGCTGCCGCAGTGAACGTTCACTTGCCTTCAGGATCTCCTGGTGGTTCTCAGAGGCGTAGAGCCGGCCGTCCCGCACTATGTCTTCCACCAGCTGCTCATAGTCCTCTGTAAAGTCAAGCATGGTTGGGGGCTGAGGGTGGAGACTCTGCTCCCCTGCTCCCTCACAACCCCAGTCCACCCCTCCAGCCCTCCTGCCTTGCTCACCATCGTAGGTTACGTAGGGAATCTGGAAGCCACGAGCGCTGTTGGCCTCACTCGTCTTGAAATTGATCCAGAGTTTCCTGGACCGGGCCGTGAAGGCAATGGGCCGCTCATAGGTCTGGCAGGTCTCATAAGTGGTGATGGAGGATGGGGAGGCTGGTAAGGCAAGCATCAGGTCAGAAAGTAGTGGGGCTGGGAAGCAGGGCCCAAGTCATTCCAACAGTGGTTCCTTTCCCCTAAGACACGCCTGCACACAGGCTCCCTCCCCCCTAACACACGCCTGCACACGCCCTCTTCCATTCTACACCCCTGAAACTGCACAGTCACATGGAGAGCTAAGTTGACGTTCACACGATCACAATGGCAGAAAGACTTGAGTTAGACCAATGCAGTGCATTTGGCAGCACTGGCATCCCAGCTCTCCGCAGCTCTCCACCATGCCTGTATCAGCTTCTGCGCCAGCTTCTGGCCCCAAGGCCTCACTCACGTTGGCTCCCATTGGTTCCCAACATCACCACCCCAACCAAATTCCAACTGCCCTTCCCCCTCCCCAAGCCCACTCGGCAGTCACCCACAGTTCTTTCTCATGACGAGAACGTCCCCACACTCATCCTCGGATGGCAGGAAGATCTCGGGGACCACAATGAGGATCTTGCGCTTGGGTGGGGGGCTGATGTTCCAGATGCACTCCACGCCCGCCGGGTAGTTGCCCGGGTAGTTGGGAGACTCGATGTAGCCAGTGAACTCACCTAGCTCCCCCCCACACTGCCGATCTGCAGCCATACCCCAGGAGACAGAGCAAGAAGACAACAAAGTCAGTGGGAACCCACAGTGAGCAAGCTGAAGAGTTTGAAGGCAGAGGACAGATGCATAAGGTAGCCACCATGCCAGTTCACCCTCCTTGCTGCCCGCCCACTCACCCACCAGCCCGGCTTCCTGCTGGTTTATGCCCCCACCCCTTATCCTGTGCCCACGGCTCCGAGATCTCTCTCCACTTCCCACGTACTCTTGCACTGGGCCACACTGGTAGAGCCATCAAAGTCAGTGCTTGTATTTCCTGGGCAGCGGGTGCAGAAGTTCTGGCGGAAGTGAGGCTGGTAGGAGCCCATGGCACAGCGGATACAGCGATGGGTGCTGGTGTTGTAGTAGTGGCCTGGGGAGCACTGGACTGCAAGCAGGAGGGAAGAAGACATGAGCTGAGACGTGTGGTAGGGAAGTGGGCATCTGGGCAGTGGTTGGGCAGGACACATTCGTCATGGAGACTCAGGGACCAAAGACCCCCAGGTTTCTTCCAGGGTCCTACCTTTCCCAGCCAGGCCATAATTTAAGGCCAGGGAAAAGAGACTCTCCAGAGTGGCTGGCTCCGGCACCAGGCCTCCTCCTGCAGGCACTGGGCAGTGCCAGCCTGATACAGAAGCTCACTGGGGGAGAGGGGGCGTGTCCACCCAATCTCCAAAGCACTCTGCTAGTGGGGTTACTAGTTACTTTGTATCCCCAGGCTCAGCCCCAAGATGGCTTCTGAGACCAGTACGCTGTGTTTAGTTAGGCAGCTGGGGCTTCCTCACTTACCCGGGAAAATGGTGGCATGACATACTCAGGGCTGCCCCGGGGACCTGGACAGTGTTGGAGGGCAGTTCCTCGACCGCCAGGGAGGCCCCTGGTGGAGTTAAGTAACCTACTCACCCTTGGCGTCACAGTCCTGGAAGGAGACTGCCCCCTCATGCTTGGTAGTGAGGCCTCCACCACAGGGGAAGCACAGGGTTCGTCCTGCTTCAGGCTGATAGGTGCCCCGTGGGCATGGCTGGCAGGGTTTGAACCCATCTACTGAATGTTGGCCAGGTGGGCACTGACCTGCAATGGAGCAAGGGCCCAACTCTGATGGGGTTGTTCCTAAGTCTCTCCATGGGGTCACCCCAGTCTTAGGGAACAGAAGCATATGACCAGGACCTCAACTAGGAGAGTAGTCTGGAGCCTGGACCTGCCCTTTGGAAAATCCCATGCCCATGGCCGTCCCAGTGCCCACCCTAGCCCAGTCTGTGTTATTTGTTCCCCTGGCACCTGCACACGTGGTGACGTTGGTGGCTCCAAGAGGCCCATGGGCATCACTCCCAGGGCAAAGGTCGCAGGAGAGCTGCCCTTCCCTCTCCTGGAAGGTGCCCGCTGGGCATGGCACACACTGCTCCGTCTGGCCGTGGTAATACGTTCCCTGCGGGCAGCTGACTGAGGGAGAGTCGGCCGCGCTAGCCATCCCCCATCTCCCACCACCCAGGCCTAAGACTCCCCTTCCCACTCTTCCAGATATGGGGAGAATCTGTCAGGGAACTAACAGAATCCTGCTTAGTGATGGGGAGGTCAAATCTGTGTGCAGGAGGCTGCTGGTCCTGCCTGGGGTCCTAGATTTCAGCCTGGGACCAGAGAAGGGAGGACAGTGGTCAGGAGGGTTTTCTCCGCCTCGCAGTTTTAAGAACTGTACCTGAGGCAAAGGGTCCTGCTCTGCTCTGCTCTGAGCCAGGGCCAAGTTGGGGCTCCCCCACTCCCCATGCCCATGGCTTCCCAGAAAGCTCTCTTACCACACTTGGTGCCTGCCCGGTGCTGCCCAGGCCTGCAGACCTCCGCCAGCTCTGCTCGGTCCCCAGCCACCTGGCCTGGCTTGTGGGCTAGCTCATAGTCAAGGCCTGCCAGACGCAGCAGGAATCTGTCCTGGTTGATGGACTTTCTGAGCATCTTCAGGGACCCTTTCAGTCTTCGTTCCATCCTCTGCCGGAGGCAAGGCAGCCCACAGCCAGCTGGTAACGGACAGTCTAGGAATCGGAAAGAGGAGAGAGAGTGGTCAGTGCAGAAGGCAGGGAGCCATGGCAGCAGGATGCCCTGGGCAATTAGGAGCTTGCTGCTGGCCGTGACACAGGCCGAAAGAACAGGTGCCCCCTTTTTGGACCAGGCTGTGAGCCCTCCTCTCTGGTCCTCTGCCCGACAGTGTCCACAGGCCCACCTGTTGTTTCTTCTGCTCTGACCTCGGCCTCTAATTCCAGGGTTAGCCGGGTAACCTCCTTGCCAGGAGTCCGGGCCCGTCGGCCCTTGCCCTTCCGAGAAGAGTCGCACTTAAGGTGGATGAAGGTGACTTGGCAGTCGGAGCAGGTGGCGCCACCTAGAAACAGAGGCCTTGTCAACTTCAGACTGGGGCTCCCACTGAAGATGGAGTTCTCCGTCCTGGCTCTCACTTCCCCATCGAGCCCCAGCGGCCCTCTCTCTCCTTGTCTAGTTTATCCAGTGGAAGGGGATGATGGGGACTGCTCAGGCCTTAGCCTCCAACAGCGTCCCCCTTTTCTGTCAGGGTACAGGTGAATCACTGGACAGGACCAGACGGGGGCTGAGCGGCGGGGAAGAGTTTGGTGGAACCCATTGGAGTGAGGTCCAGACCTGGCCCTGGGATTCTGCTGACATCCTCCACTTTGCCTTTGTTTCGCAGATGCAAACGGCATTTCGCGTCCTTGATCTTGAAGGAGGCCCGCTGCTTGACGGACAGGGCTGCAGCCTCTGGAGGGGGTGAGGAAAGCTCAGCACAGCCTGGGGGCGGGGCGGGGGTGAGGCTGCTGTTGGAAGTGGTTCAAAGCTGGGCTACAGTCAAGTTTAGCTGGGAGCAGGACCGTAAAAGCCAGGGGCATCAGAGAGGAGGGCTTCTGGGCAGGCACTTACCATGGCAGTAGTTTGAGGTGGTGCTGTTTCCAGGGTGGGTGCCTCGGGCTGCAGCAGCTTTAAGGCTGGGGGTACCACAGCTCACGGTGAAACCATTCTCGGACTCTGAGAGAAGGGGCCTATCACAGTTCTGACCTGACCCCCCCCCCAACCTCCAATGGTTAGAGGAATCCCAGGGGACAGAGGAGTGCTGGACAGCCAGCTTCTCCCTCAAACTCTCCAACCCCCTCTCCCCACATACCTGGCAAAAACCGGGCCCGGGAAGGGCAGGTCAGGGCACAAGTGTCCTTCTTGCCAGACCGACTGCAGCTGAGCATGGCTTTGGAGGCCCCAGGACTGCTCTGACAGGTCACTGGCTCTAGGAAGTGGACCAGGGCCTGAGGCTATGGAATGTGCCTTGTCCACCTTCTCAGATGGTTAGTTGAGAAAAAGATTATCTATGTGCAGAACTACAGACATGCCCAAGGAGACTGGACACTTCTAAATCAGGAATGGTGTGCCTAATCCAACCGGCTACACCCCTCACATCTTCCCACCAGATCCCCAGCCATTTCCAGGTCTTGCCAGCAGAGGGCGCCACACACCTGTGCAATCCTTCCCGTTCCAGTGAAGGCGGCCCTGGCCTGCTGGGCAGGTACACTGAAAGCTGCCGGGGGTGTTGATGCAGCCAAAGCGGCAGCCTCCCTTGTTGACGCTGCATTCGTCCACATCTGTGGGGGGGAGCAGGGAAACAGACTGGCAGTGGTGTGGAGAAGTAGGAGCCAGGGGTTGGGCCGCAAGTGAGGACCTTAGGTCAGTGTCCAGCCGCACTGAGTGATAGAGGGTGAGGAGGTGCCTTCTAGAAACCTGCTGTGCATCGCCAGATCTCGCAGGTGGCAGCGCTCACATCAAACATTCACAGAGATAGTAAAGGGCTCTCTGGCCTCCTCCCATTCTCTCTATCCCTGGTTAAAGCAGGTTGAGCAGGTGCCAACTTGACCAGCACCTCGGTGCCTTCCACTCTTACCCTCTCACTGGGCTAGAGAATCAGGGTGGGACTCCGGGAATAGTGATGGGGAGGGAGGGTAGAATTTAGGAGGCAGAGTCTGGGCACGGTGGAAGTGAAGGCAGAAGGATCAGGAGTTCAGGGTCACCTCTGGCTACATAGTGTGTTCAAGGCCAGTCTAGGGGTCATGAAACCCTCACATAATCTCCCTGGTGCCTGTCTGCTAGCTGGCTTTGGGGTGTTGGATGCAGATGTCACACATGCTCCCAGGGATTTCTTATTACCCCAAGCCAGCACAGGGTTATCAAGACTTTTGGAGGGTGGAAAGGTGAGGGACCGAGGTGGCTGGGAAGCAGGAGGGTATGAGCTTGCTGGCTTACCCCCACAATGAGTGACACCATACAGCAGGTAGCCACGATGACAGAGACACTGGAAGCTTCCTGGTGTGTTGACACACATGTGGTCACAAGTTCGATCAAAGGAGCACTCGTCTATGTCTGGAAGAGCGAGGGTTTGAGATCCTGAGTCTGTCTGCCCCATGTTCAAGGGGCGGATTTCAGGGAGTTGAAAGAGACCCTGGACTGCCCCCAGATCTGGACTGCCCCCAGATCTGCGACTGAGCAGGGCCAACTCCCTCTGTGCACAGTGCCTGGAGTTTCTGTTTGCATCTAGAACCTGTGGGTCATGACCTAGCTGCAGCAGGCCACATCTGGAAGAATCAGACAGTGGAGAAGGAAGGAGCACCCTTGGCTGCCAGTGGCTAACACTGCCTGTTCATGTTCCCGTGTCCACGGGGTGATTTCCACCCCGCCATTCCAGAAGCTCTCCCAACCGAGAGCCTCTCCAGAGAGTCGCTCCCCTGAGCCTGCTCACCCTGGCAGCTCCTCTCGTTGATGAGAAGCTTGTAGCCCTTCTTGCAGCTGCACTCGAAGCTGCCCACCGTGTTGCGGCAGATGTGGTCACAGCCCCCATTGTTTAAGCGGCACTCGTCGATGTCTGGGGGAGCAGACAAAACACCACAAAGGACAATACTGAAGGCTAGGAGCAAACAGGAGACAAGAGCTCTTTCTCGAAGAGACAAGGAAAGTCAAGGAGGGACCTGGTCTGTCCCTGTTAACTTGGCTGTCACCCTCTGTCCTCATGTCTGTCCTGTCCAGGATATCTGGCCATGGTAACACCTTTTTTCCCCCTGAGGCTGAGTCCAGGAACCACCTAAGCCAGCAGTGAACAACTGGAGTTAGGGGAACAGGAGGCCATTTGAACTCCAGGCTGGTCCACATCCTGTACTCTCCAGCTGATGGCCATCCCCGAGACGGTAACAGGGCTCTCCTTTTGTAGCGCGGACTCTGTCACACAGCTTGGGTCAGGAGGGCTGAGCCTAGAGGGACTTGCTGGAAAGGGGCAACCTCAGGGAGGAGGAACTGGCAACGATGCTAGGTCGAAAGGACTTTCAAGAGAGAGAGGGGCTGAGATGAGGAGCAGGAGTGGGGCCAGGCAGGGGACCGGAGAAACTCAGATCCTGGCAGTGTCGGGTACGGGTACCAGAGGGAAAGGGGCGGGTGAGCAGCTTCCTTCCTGAGGTCAAGTTCCCTAGCTGGTGGCAGACAGGACCCAGGCTCCTCACCACTTCTGGAGGGGAGGGGTGGGGTGCGCTCGGCAGGCCTACCTGTCAACAGTCCTGCTCAGCAGGAAACCTCGAGTGCGGCTGGCTGACCTGCTGCCCCAGCCCTCCCCCTCCTGCAGCTGCTGGGCCAAAAGACACAAAGAAGGAGCCGGCCCTACTTCCCGGTCCCCACTTCTCAAGACCAGAAGACAGACGTGATGAGTCATCATTTTCTAAATGGCCTCCCTCCCCCTCTCTCCCTCACGGTCCACAAATCCCAGTGAACTGGAAGGAGGGGAGTAGAATGGGTAGTGTGGGAACTTAAACCATAAAGACAGCCAAGCCCAAAGGGTCCCCACGTGCCAATCCTCATTTGTATACAGTTCATCCATCCCCACAGCACACTATGAGCTAGGTCCAATGGAGGGAGCCCGCGGAGGAGCCCGCGGAGCTGGGCTCAGAACTGGCAGCCAGGCTCTCTTTGGTGCTTCTGACTCTCCCTAGTACAGTCTAAGAGATCCTTCCAGAGCCACTGGGAAGACTTGAGGAATGCAGGTCCAAAAAGTGAAAGCCATCCATGCCCTCATGCACAGGGTCGGCTCAGATGGCCTTCCAGCTCAGGGGCAACCATGTTCATTCAGGGCAGGAACCTTCTGCCCGGGACAGGACAGGACGAGGGTGAGAGTAGGAACAAGGGAGGCTGGGCCCAGAAGGCAACAAAGTGCTAGCTGGACTTTTGTGCCCCTAGCTGGATTTGTTCCCCTTGAACTGAGATGGGAGAGCAGACAGGAGCCGCCCTTAGCTTTGTCCTGGGTTCTTTGGGAGAAGGGAGTTGTGTCTCCATAAGAGCTAAATCTCGGCCCCACCTCATCCTGGCGGAGGCTGCCCTGCTCTTGCCCTCTCTGAGGTCTCACCTTTGCAGGTCTTTCTGTCTGGCTGCAGCATGAAGCCCACAGGGCAGCTGCAGTGGACCCCGGTCGCGGCGTCGTGGCATTTACTGTCGCAGCCCCCATTGTTGATGGCACAGGTCTCTGTGGAGGGAGGTGTGGGTAGCGATGGGGTTACTGGCCTGAGGGAAGGCCTCAGCCACCTCGCCGGAGGTCAGCAGGAGCATTAAGCAGAAGCCCCAGGCTCCAGCCTCCCCTTCCTCCCGAGGCCTAGCTCCTCAGGAGTGCAGCCGAGCTAGCGAGTGCTCCACGTCCCTGCCCCCTACTTGATTGCAGCAAGGAGGACAGCAGCGAGGCAGGTACAAGCCGGAGCTGTCAGGCAGGAATGTGCTGAGGGGGTGGGGGTGGGGAGGCAGGAGAGATGAAAGCTAAGGGAGGGCTTGGCCTGCCTGGGAACAGAAGGGGCAGACCAGTCTCTTCCCATCCTGGGGGCGGGGGGGGGGGGGGGTCATGGTGGACAGTCTCCTAAGAGGTTTGGTGGGAAGAGGGTCTCAAGACACTGATGGCTGCCCATTGATTCATCCCCCTCCCTGACACCCCACCTCAGAGGAGACAGCCAAGCTGGGCCATCCACCTTTACCTCCTCCCAGACCCTCCTGTCCCCCTGGAAGCAAACTGGCTGTTTGGTCCTCCTATTTTACTGATGAGATAATGTGCACGCACAGGAGGGGCACAGAAGAGAGTTCAGAGCCTTGTTGAGCTCCATCGGTCCTGTGCCTGCTGAGAGGCCTGGCCCAAGGGAAACGGCTCAAACAGCCGCTTTGGAGAGGAGGTCCGAGAGAAAGCCATCAGCCCCAGTACTGCAGGAACCTGCACGAGGACCTGGAGTGATTCGGCCTGTCCTGGAGGCACTGAGCATCCTCCCGTTAGCATCCCAAGGCCTCCATGACACAAGAGAAAACTACTCTCAGGATATCAGGTCCACCCTTGTCACCAATGAGGGCAGCGTGCCAGGGCTCCAAAAGAAGCCTGCCTTTGCCTGGGAGTCCCTGGCATGTCCTGATCTGGGAGCGACCACAGTGGGCTCCTCTCATTGTGTCTGATGCCGCCCAGACCATGAGCAACTCAAGTCCAGTCTCTCCCAGAAGTGCTCAAAGTATGGAAAGAGGGCCCCCAAGGCCTGGACAAGACCCTGTTTGTGTGTAGATCCTCCGGAGGACCCAGGATGGGCACAGAACTGGCACGGTGCCTATGCTAGGCTGGACCAGAAAGCTGGACAGAGTTGTCTACCTCTGCAGGACAGTGGCTCAGAGCAGGGAGGGTGGCAGGAGGACACAGCTTGCCCTGTCCTTGGTGCAAGGCACTGACCACATGCCGTCCTGATCATCACACCCACGGGAGGACTATCACTACCCCCTTCTGCAGAAGAGTAAGCTGAGGGCCAGAGAAGATGGGGCTCGCTCGAGACTGGCTGGTGAGATTATGGCAGAGCCAGGATCCAAACTTGGGTCAGGCAGAGATCAGCAGCTGCTCTCAGTGGTGTACTAAGAGTAGGAACCCAAGCAGGATGACCCCCAGAGGGGATGGCATCCAACTCTGATGCCCCTTATCTCAGTGGCTTAGTGGAAATGATGGGGAAGATGGCACTGGCTAAGACTTTAGAGGCAGTGACAGGCGGGGGAGGGGGGGGTGCTGATGACTGGGAAGGGGATAGGGTGTTAGAAGGTGGTATAGGAAGAGGAAGCAGATGAGGAAGGAGGGGAACCAGGAAGACATCAGCACGAAGGTTCCCAGGCCAGCTTTGAAGAACTTGCGTTTCTTACCACCTGATGGGTCTAGTGCCCACACTACCAGGGGAAGCCCTGCTGGGCATGCAGTTAGTGGGAGCCCCAGCGGGTTAGCCCTTCCCTAGCAAGCCAGTGAGAGCAAGCGGAGAGCAGACATATTTACCATTAGAAACGGCCTGAGTGGGCATGTGCTGCTCTAGCCGCCTTTCCCCTGTTTGTAAAAAAGCTGTTTAGATCTGGGGCAGGCGCCACTGCAGCCCACTGGGCCCCGGGCCCACCCTGTACCCTCCACCCTGAAGGTCCAAACCACTAGCCCCACATGGTGACCCTTGGGGCCCCAGATTAGCCTCATTCCCCAGCCTTGTCCTGCCTGGTACCCTCAAAGAAATCAGGCTCCCATCAAGAGACTATAAAACAGAGGTTCTGAGTCTCGACCCCACAGAGCATGTCAGAGGCAAAGCTGGCATGAGATGTCAAGGCTTGCACTCAGGCACCCCCCAAATCCCTTCTCTTAACTACACTCCCAGTCTCCCCACTCTGAGCGTCCTGGTAAACTCAGTGACAATTCCTGCCAAGGCAAGTAAGCTCATCTCCCTCAGAGCAGGGGAAGAGGGCTGGGGAGAATCAGCCTCGCTTGCTCTGTCCTGCCTTGCTGCTGCTGCTGCCCAGATGGTGCAGTGCGTCCTGGGTTGGAGAGGTCAAGCTTGATACGGGCATTTTCAAAAAGCAGCCATGTTTGAGAACATTCAAACAGAAACCCAAGAAGGAACCCTGCCTCTTCCCCATGGGACCTCTGTCTCTTCTCCCTAGGGACCACATGCAGTTTCTTCTGGGAGAATCTGGGGGTATGTGGGTGTGTCCAAAGGGTGGTGGAGGTTTTCAAAGCAGACAAATTAGCCCTATAAGGAGAATATGAGGGACTGGAGAGATGGCTCAGTGGTTAAGAGCACTGTCTGCTCTTCCAGAGGTCCTGAGTTCAATTCCCAGCAACCACATGGTGGCTCACAACCATCTGTAATGAGATCTGGTGCCCCCCTCTGGTGTGTTGGCATACATGGAGGCAGAATGTTGTATACATAATAAATAAATAAATCTTTAAAAAAAAAAAAGAATATGAAAGGAGCTGGAATAACCCAGCTGGAGAAGGCATTAGGAAGACCTGAACCTGTTTTAGGGTCCTTGAAGAGTTAGAGGGGGTGGGGGAGGGAGCGAGAGCAGGAGAGCTTTCCGTTAGAGGGGCACTTTTGATCCACACATATCTCGAGCAGTGCCGGGAACCTGTGTGAGCCCGTCTGCTCCCGTCTGTGGCTGACGTGGAGAGGACAGGGGCAACGGACTGATGGGTCCTAACCTGAATCTGTCTTGGACACACAGAGCACAGAGCCACCCACCAGACGGACAGCTCTCCATAAGTGCCCATGCCCACAGAGCAGGTATGCCTCTCCATGCACGGCTGGAGACCCTGCCTCAACTCTGGCCAAAGCCCTTTCATTTCCCACTTCTCCAAGGGGACACACTGTCCAGTCATCTCGCCACTGAAGAAATGGCAACGGAGGGAATCCAAAAT